CCAGGAGCTGCTTTCAAGGTAGCAGCACTGACAATAACATCAATAACTACTCATTTTTCAAAGGGCCTTTCAGAATGTTGCGGTCTTGTCCATACAACCATCCCTCCAGCTCTGATGAGGAAATTATTTATGGGTAGAAACTTTACCATTGGATGTTTCGGCCAGGAAATTCCAACAATAGCCATACAACTTACAGGTGGAACACTGGATCTGCTACCTATAAGGATTTTTCTGGTGGTTGACTTCATATTCAGTCCTGGAATATCATGAGCCTCTCCAACATTGAGGCTAAGGGAAATGGTTTCAGGATGTCAGGATAATCAGAACAATGTACAGGTTCACTTACTAATTGGCGCTGGCCTGTGACAATTAAGTAATTTGAGGAATTTGTGTAGGGAGTCATCTTTTTTATCAGGTGGATCTGAATCTTATGTTATTCCACAGTTAGGAGATTTAATGCATCCCTGAGGGGCTGTGTGCATTGGAGAATGCAGCAGGGAGCTCAGCATCTGGGCTCTGTTATGGGATTCTTGACACTGGATTCAAATAGGATCTCAGAAAAGCAGAGGGGTGGTGATGCAGCTCAAACAAGAGGCCCAGCAATTTTTGGAAATGCAGAGCCTGCTGGCCAAACACTTAGGTATTTCAGGATGTGTAAAGAAATAGAAGCCAAAATGAGAAAGCAAACAGAAAAATCTATGCTAAGGCAAGTGAAGTGGGATCAGCAACCATCACTAGCACAGCAAATAATCCATGACTGAACAATATGTACTAGATTATGTACCAGTGTTATAGACCAGATGCCGATGATAAACTGGTATGAAAAAGTTCAACACATCACTGGCTAATCAAAGGTAAAACTCCTATTTCATTCTTTTTCTGATTTTCTCTCCACAATCATTTGCAACTTAATTAGTGTTCTAGGAGTTTTAAAGCCTAAATATACTGAATCTATACAGTTCCCAGGTCTGTAGCTGTTCTAATCAGGACACACACATGCATATTTATAATTTTCCAGACCACAGGAAAAATAAGACCAGCTTTGTAAATAGGCTTTGTTCTTCTATGACCTAAGAAAAAGGAAACCTTCAATTCCTCTAGGGAAATGATAAGGCAATACTGAATATGTTTGTAACTCTTTTAGCTGTTTTGTTTGTAACTCTTTTAGCTGATAATGCCTAACATGCTGTTTGCTTTTCTAGCAAACATTCGTTATGTCTTCACAGAGTTGTCTGTTACAGCTCCAGCATCTCCTCCAGACTAATGTAATATTACCCCATATTGCCCAAAACTTGAATGTTAGGCCTGCTTTTCCCCCTTCACATGTGATAGGGGAGCACATATTAACATGTAATACAATTTGTACTAAAACCACATTTCACCTGCTGGTTTTACTGCTCTGTCACTTCAGGCTGCAGGCTGGCTTTGTACATCTTCACTGTTAGCTCTTGTTATTCATGCAAGATCTTCCATGGTGATTTTACTTCTTTTATGAGAAGTAGACCAGAAAAGCTCAAGTAGATCAAACCTACCTGATCTGCTTTACCTCAAGGTTTGCAGATTTCTTCAAAGAATATTTACAGCTCTATGGAACATGATTTCCCCTTGTGAAATCACAAGTTCTGTTTAGCCATTTGTCCAGCAGCTCTCAGCTGTACTGTGGCTCTTACCAACTTGTCATGTGGACACCCTGGTCCAAAGCTCTCTGCATCTCCACTGAATGTTTTCTAAAAATTAGTGTTTTGTTTGTGACCTTCCATTCATCTAGCACTTAAGACAGTTTTAAGTGAAAAAAATATAAAGTACGGTTCAAAGTTCAGCCATTTCATCACTTGAATTTCCTTAGAACTTTTGGATGAATACCATCTGTCCTGTCAGTTTGTTTCAAGTTCTTTTACACTTGGATTTGAGACAGATGCTTCACCATGCCTCCTCCATTAAAAAATTTTGTCATGAGAACTGCCTGAAACCCCTCTACAAGGTTAAAAAGTTTTCTTCTAGGCATTGCTACTGTATCTTGAGCATGCATTGTCCCTGGGACAGTCTGGCAGCCCTCTTGGTTCTGTGGATGCCCAAGCTTTGGATGAGTGAATTTCCTTCCCAGTAGCTGGTACAGCGCTGTGTATTGGATTTAGGGGGAGGATAATGTTGATTTCATTGTCACTGAGCAGTGTTTACACTTAGCCAAGGACTTCTCAGCTTCTCATGCTGCCCTGGCAGCCAGGAGGCTGGGGGTGCGCAAGGGGACACAGCTGGGACAGGTGACCCCCTCCACTGCCCAAACAGATATTCAATGCCATGAGAGTCAGCATGTAACTGGGGTGAAAGCTGGCTGAAGGACACTCTTTGGAAACTGGCTGGGCATTATTTGCTTGTTTTTCATTTGCATCACTTCATTTGCATTTTTAAATCTTTTTATTATTTTCCTTTTTAGTATCATTTATTCATTTATTATTATTTTATTTCAATTATGAAGCTGCTTCTATCTCAAGGCATGGGTTTACTTTTACCATTCCAATTCTCTCCCCCATCCCACCGTTTGGGGAGTGAGTGGCTGTGTGGGGCTTGGTTGCTGGTTGGAGCTTAGACACGACAGATGTGTTTGAAAGTTGTTAGTTTGTTTTCCCATGTTGCTCTTTTGCTTTGCCACATGTTGCTGTGTCTGGCCTGTTGATGTGCGGGGTGTTTTTGGCTTTCTGGTTTAGAAATAACTTGAACTTTCTAAAAACTGCTTTCCTACATTTGTTATTCTCTCATTCTTCCTCTTTATCCACCTCAGACTGATTTTTGGTGGACTTTTGGTCTGCTTTACTGTGTGGGATCTTTATGGTGAATTTCTAGTGCAATGTGAGAGCTCTTCCCAGTGCCTGCAAACCATTTTGGGCATGCCTTTTAGTTTTGGTTTTAGACCTCCCAGTTCATCTCCAGTGAGTTATTTCATAAGTTTGTCCGTATTGAGCAGTGATGTGAAAAACTAATTCAGCTTTTCTTCTATGGCCTTATCTTTACTGAACATTCCCCTTACACTTTGATTACTTATTATTCCTTTCAGCAAGTGCTCACAAATGGGCATTACATGAACTCCCTGACCTGACACATCATACTTTTTGAAGCTTAATTTGAAAGCAGTAATTTTCATGTACTCTTTTCCATTTGCCTTATATTGAACATCCTTCTTGCAAAAAGGACAAAATATCTTTTTTTTTTTTTAAATGTCAATTATCTTGAGTCATAGCAACATTTTCAGTTGATAGATCAGCCCGGTGCAGAGTTTTTGGTGTGCAAGTTGTAAGGACACCTGAAGGGTTATATTTTGTTTCAATTTTAAAAAAACCCAAAACATTTCAAAAAATCAAATTAGTCAATGTACTCTGACTTTACCCCTCCACTGCAGAAAATTTAAATAATCTTATCAGAAAGACTCCATGAAGCATCACTGTTCTGCCCAGGGAGAGGATGTTGGAAGTGAGAGGATGTGGGAAGTCTGAACAGATGTGGTAACCAAGATCAGCATGCTCTTGGATACACACTGTAACGGAATTGCCTCTAGATAGAATTTTTGAGTTAAGAATACAGGTGCTGTAGGACTGCAAATTCTACAGCAAAAAATGTTCTTGAGCGCTGGAGGTGCTGTTCTGCCTCCCACTTCTGGTTTATGCCTGTGGCTTCAGGAAATCTGAGCCTGAAAAATGGAGCTATTGATCTCACCTGTGCCACCTTATCTCTAGCAGGTCCAACATGTAAAACAGCAGCTAATCCTTCTGATGGCACTTAAATATCTCAGGGGCATGGTAGGGAGGACAAAGAAACTCTGGGGTTCTAAGGCTCTCAAAGATTAACACCTACTCCAGTATAAAAATATTTGAATTGCCTTTACAGTTACTTAATTTCCATGCTTACAAGAATATACTGTTTTTCTCAAGCCTCTTGTTTCAGAAAGTGCTGTTATCTTTGACCTATTCAGTGACATTTACCATAGTAAAGTCCTGAAAACACTTTTTATCTTACACAAAGTACAATGATGGGACACAAACTTACTTCCTAAGCTAATGGGCAATAGGGACACATTTTAAACAAAATCTTGGAAGCTTGCCCTTTATATTACTTAATTTTTTAGACATTACACATTTCAGGGCTGGGCTTTTCAAGGGCTAATAAAAGTTATTTCCTGGTATTTAGCTCAACAAATTAAACCTGAGCTATTTAGTTTAGCTGTAGGATCTCAAATTCCCCAGTTGAGAATATTGTTAGGTACCTAGATTTAAGCCTTCATATATATTGAAGTAAAATAAAAAGTGAGAGCCAAGGAACAGTATAACTGGTGACACTGTTACAACCACGAACAGGAATGCATCAGGAGCACTTGTTCTTTACAAATGCCTTCTCTTTCTGCAGGAATACACTGGGGGTAGACATTCCAACATTTTTCATGCAGTTCTGCAAGCTGTGTATTTTATGAGAAGCCAGTAATACTAGAGCCAGGGGGAGAGGGAAGGAGTAGCAACATCTGGGAAGACATGCCTCTAACTACATCTGTCTTACAGCCAAGGCCAGCGACCCTGAGCTCTGGAAGAGAAAGTTCCAAACATTCATTCATTATCAGCTACTAAAGCAAAACAAAGGCCTGTGCTTCAGCAGCCTGGGGAAAGATAATCCAGGAGTAATTATCCAGAACTTCACTACTTGAGAGATTTTTTTTTTCCACCACAAGGTAACACAGGCAAAGGCTACTGTAAGGAAAGCATCAGTTTTAAGGAATGGTAGTGGGAGAGGAAATCAGTTAAAGGAGTTTAAGTGGCAGCAAAAGCTCCAAGAGTCAATGCCTAAGGGATTTGCCAGTCCTGCAGTAACAGCAAGAGCCCAGGAACACTGCATGTTCCCACAGAGGATTCCAGCATTCTGGGGGCGCCAAGCCTCTCGGAAACATCATGAACACAAATAGAATAATGTACAACATTTTATTACAAAACTGTTAAAAAAGTAATACAATGCAACAAAATACTACAAAATATAAGATCAGCTATTAAGCTACCTTTGTTTTACTTAGCTAAAAAGAAACACCTGGCTATCAGTCACTGAATTTCAATAAAACCATTAAATATGCAGAAACAGCAGAAACATTCAACAACTTTTGTTTTTCCAAAGCGAACTGTAGCAGCCCTTGGCTACTGCTTACATTATAATTGAAGTCTCCCTACAAAGAACCACATGACCTATACACAATTCTGTACAGATTTTTATACTGAAGCTAACAATGAGCTGCACTTGAGTTCACATTCTTAGCAAAATGTTGGATCCCGAGCATAAATCTTTACACCAGGACATTCATTTATTCTTCATCCTCATCGTCTTCTTCCTCTTCTTCCTCCTCCTCCTCTTCCTCCTCCTCCTCCTCTGGTTCTGCTTTCTTCTTAGATCCTGCAGGCCTACCTGGGCCCTTCTTTCCTGCATCACTCTTGCTCTTGGCACGATATGCTGCAATGTCCTGCAAGAAAAATGCTTTTAAGTTGCTAGCACTAGAACACTACAGACAAATCTGCACTGCTTGAGTATGTCAATGCTACTGTACTGCACAGGTCAGATACAGTGCATGCAAAAGCCTGAATTTCCACCTTGGGACTTTCACACTTAAATCTTTAAGCAAAAGAACATGCAATGCAGACAGTTTTAAGAATTTTATGACCATGGTGCTTTGGAGTCTGACTACATTTATTTTAGCAAGCAGGTGACCTGTTTTCTGGTAGTAAGGCATCTTGCTGGTAAAATCTCTAGACATGCAAACCCACATCCAGGCTCCTCACTGTAAGGGTTCCAGACACCTGCCCTGCCAACCCTTCCGTGTCTTCTAAAGGCTGACAGAAAGCATTAAGGATTATAAACCCCTTATGGTGTGGGTGCAAGACACAAGTCATATATTTACAGTGAGCTCCACAACTTTAAGTTTGTTGTATTACTTTTACTGTACCTTTTCATACTTCTCCTTTAGTTTTGCAGCCTTCTGTTCGTATGGCAGTTTATCTTTGGCCGACTGTTCAGACCACATTTCACCTAATTTCTTTGCTGTATCTCCAATGGACAAGCCAGGATGTTCGTTTTTGATTTTCGGACGGTGCTCAGAACAGAAAAGGAAGAACGCAGATCTACATCGAGAGACAGTGATTAAAGTTAAGTATCAAGCTATTGGAATACTTTTTTCTGTGGGGGAAGGGAGTCATAGAAACACTCACGGTGGTCTTTTAGGAGCGTTGGGGTCCTTTTTCTTTCCCTTCTTCTCGCCTTTGGGAGGAACATAGTTTTTCATCTCCCTGTCATAGCGAGCTTTGTCTCCTTTAGCCATTTCTTCAAACTTTCCTTTTTCCTTGCTTGACATTGTCTGTGGGCACACGGAGGGGAAAGAAGAGGCTGGATGAGATAAAGCAGCTACTGACCCACTAACGCCTAAGCAGCAGCTGCTCCCAGGGATCTTTTCCCAGCAGCCCGCAGCAGGGGCGGGGGCTGGCCCGCCAAGGGCTCAGCACGGCTCGGCCCGGCCCCGCTCACCTTCCACCGCTCCGAGCACTTCCGCGAGAACTCTGCGAAGTTGACGGACGAGTCCGGGTGCTTCTTCTTGTGCTCCTCGCGGCACGTCTGCACGAAGTAGGCGTACGAGGACATCTTGCCCCGCGGCTTATTGGGGTCGCCTTTGCCCATGGCGAGGTCGGCGCGGGTCCCTGCGGGCGGCGGTGTATGGGGAGGCGGCGTGAGGCGGGGCCGCCCCTCAGGCCGCTCCCGCCTCCCGCCGCCTTCCCGCCCCAGCGCGCCCGGCCCCGCCCCCGCCGCGGCCCCTCTGCCCGCGCCCCCACCCCGCCGGGCCCGCGGCCCCTTCCCCGCCGGCCGCCTCTCCCCGCCCCCCGCGGCGGCTGCGGCGGGCAGCCCGCCCGGCCCCGCCGCCCGCGCCCCAGCCCGCCCCGCCGGGGCCGGAGCCGCCGCCGCCCTCCCGGCCCCACCCGCCCGCCAGGAATCCTCCCCTCAGCCCTGGGCGCGCCGCCCGCCCGCCCGTCGCGGGAGCCCCTCGCTGTCTCTGCGCCCGGGACCGCCGCTGGAGTCCGCTCCCCCCCCGCGCTCCCTCCGTCCCACCGGAGAGCTGCCGCCCTGCGGACCGGGCCTTGCCTGGCTGGGCGGAGCGGGCGGCGCGGGCGCTACTCCCTCAGGTGCTGCTGCCGAATGGTGCCCGGCCGCGCTCTTACCGCCTCTTGTTTTCCGCGGCACTGCCCGCCACAGCAACCCGACCCGCGGCACCCGAGAGCCCGCCTCCCGCCGCAGCCCATTGGCTGCCGCGCACGTTCAAACTGCCCGAAGCACCGCCCCTTGGCGCGGAGGCTGGACGGGATTGGCTGTCTGCCGCTCTGACGTCAGCGGCCGAGCTACTCCCGGGCTAGGTCGAGCGCGAGGGGGTCGTTGGCGCCTATACCCGTTGGAACCGGTTGGGGCGAGGAGCGCGGGGAGGCGGGGCTGGGCGGAGCGCGCTGGGCGGTGATTGGGGGAGAGGGACGGTTTAAAAAACCGCGGGGGCCGCTGCCATTGGCCGGCGGGGGCTGCGGCCGATCTGATTGGGCGGAGTGCGGGGGGGCTGCAGCGTGGTTTAAAAATACAAAGGGAGCGGGGCTGGCGGCGGCTCCCTCAGCTCTGCTCCTTACTCGGCCTGCCCGGCTCGGGGCGGCCGGGGTACCAGCGCCGCCCTCTGCCCCCATCCTTCCCTCCGTGGGGCGGGGGTCTGGCGGGCAGGAGCGGCTGGCTGTAAAACTGGGCTGAAAGTTGGGTTCGGTGCCCAGGCGAGCCCCGTTTCTGGGGGTCCCCCAAGCGGCCCGGCCCGTCCCGCCGCGGGGTAGGGGCTGCGGTGGGGCCCGCTCCCGGCTCCAGTGCGGGTTCCCCCGCGGAAGGAGAGTGTGTGGTTTGTAGCGATGCCTGGCAGAGAGAGCTCCTGCTGCCCTCTCTCCGGCTAGAGGGGCCTGGAAGAGCCTGGGGCTGCCTGTGAGCGCTGCGTTCTCTCTCTCAGGCCGGGAAGGGAAGGTGTCGGCTCTCCGAGCCTGGCGCTCTCTGTGAAGCGCAAGCTGCAGCAGTGGAAAGCTGGGGACTCAGTCTCGGTCGAACTGAGGTCTTCATGCAAGCCACGCCCGTGGTTTGCATCAGTGCTTTCAAGTGTACCGCTAGTAGCAAATCTGGCCCTTTGGGTTTGGGCAGAGAACTGAAGTTTCCATACAGTCTCTTACACTGCCATGTCACCCCAGACTACATTATACTGGTTTTGCTGACGCTGGTTTTCTTCTGTCTGATTATTTTCATCCAATTTTCAACTTTGGGTAAATATTCTTAGTAATCTAAGTGGTTTTTAACACTTGTTTTTTCAGGTGTCGTTTATAGCCCTAGTGAGAAGCAGGTTATTACTTTGTTTACTGAAGATGCAGTGCCTTCAGTAGAACTTTCATCATGTTAACTTTCCTCGATGGTAAGAAAAAACAAATCCCTAAGCTATATGAGAGTATTGAGTAGCTGCAGGTGTGACAGTGGCCAATGTCTTGATCTCCAGTCTCCCCAGTTCAGAGTTGCTCAGTAAAAGAACTTATTAGGTGCAGTGCTTCAAGCTTTTCTTCCTTTCCTTCTGACAAGTATAGGTTCATGTGCAACAGTTCACTAATTTGGTAGTAATCAGTTATCCCTGTTTCATTTTAAGCTTTGTGTGTTTGCCCAAACTGCAGCCCTAAAAGCCAAAATCCACTACAGAAGAGGGTAATTGGCAGGTAAATTAACAGAGCAACCCACAGATTATGCATTCCCTCTGCAGATGTCAAAGCCTTCACAAGCCAGTTATTCAAAACCTTGTATTAGTTCACTTAATGTGACTATTACTTTTGATAGTGTTTAGCATACAAATAAAGCTTAGCCTTCCTTACCTCCTAAAATAAACATTTACATGGGGAATGTTTCATGTTCTGGTTTGGGCTTGTTATTGCTGTATTCCACTGCTTCTCTGTAGCAAATTAGTGTTCTGAGTTCTATGTAGGTCTGTCTGTCCACTTTGCAGAGAGTTGTTTTGTCATGTGGCTTTAAAAATGCTTTTACTTCATATTTTACATGGAAAACACTATTTTATTTCATGAGTTAAGCTGCCAGATGGGTCACCCATCTACTTTGTGGTGAACTACCTCTGTATAAAAGCTACTTGTGAAGTATGTTCTTGTTAATAAAGTAATTTTGTAGAAGATGGTGGAATTTTACAATACTGGTGAGTGAATCGTAGTACAGCCATTGGTATCTGTGGTGCAAAAGCATTCCTTGTATGCCAGACTGACCTAGACCTCTCTGACAGTTATTGGAGGGGAGGTGGGGGGAAAAAGTTTTAGGTAAGTTTTATTAACATTTTCACTCTTTTAACATGAATATAGCACGTTCATGGAAAAAAAAACACTTTGGAACACTCTTTGGAAATTTTGTGATGTAATTGCAGTAAGGCTCCTGCTGTTGCATCTGTTTTTATATCTGCTCTAAGAATATGAAGAAAATTATTGTGGAAAAGCAGGTGGGGTGAGAAAGTGTAATTATTGCTATGGGAAGAAATGAGATCTGCCTTTCAAATTATTTAATCAAATGTTTTAAGAAAGAAATTAGGATCTTTAAATTTTCTTACCTGGAAAAGAAAGCTTTTGTATGCTTTGCTAGACTCACAGTGTGTTACATCATGCTGTCTCATACAACACAGGGCACATGAGAAACCAAAGTAACATCTGTCTGTCCTCCAACAAGGAAGGCAGTATTGAGAATTTTCCATGCTTGAACATGATACTGGAAGCTGCCCACAGCAGTGCCAATGCTGAAAGCCCCACCACACAAGAATGCTGATGTTAGGAGCTTGTCATTCCCAAAGCTGTGCCTTCCTCCCAGCGCCCTCGTGCCTGGAAAAGCACTTCTCTGCTTCCACAATAAGCTGTCACTGTTTGTCATTGTTCCACACTGTTCCTTTTCAGACAAAAACACAATCTGTGTCTCCAGGGATTCAGTCACTGTTGCTCTTGTAAAGCAGTGATCTATGCAGTATTGACTTTGGTCGGTACGCGTGGTTAATTTATTAACCACATGTGCATGACAGTTGTGGGGAAGAAGCACAAACTCCGGGACTTGGAGTTACTTCAGTGTGAATAATTCTGCTCATGGAATGGCTCTTTGGTTTTATAGCTCCCTGGCTTTGAGCCCTTCTGAGTCTCTAATCTGCCCCACAATTTGGGGTGCTATTGTTAACTTGGCTTAATCTTCAGTAAACTGCAAGAGAGAGAGATAAGCAGTGAGGCTAGAAATGCTGGATAGCAGGTAGAGAAAAGACCAGATGGGTGAGACCAGGTTACAGAGCTGAGAAATGGATTTAAAGAAAAGTATGTCATGGACAACAAAAAGGTGTGATTGGAGTGATGCTGTTTTCTGTCTTACTGTATCTCTTGGCTTCTGTGGGCTGCTTCTAGAGCTTTTCTGGACAGTGGTGTCAGTGTGGACAAAGCAAGGGAAGAAAGGAACAAAGGCCTTTTATTTGAATTAAATCATCAGCAACTCCATTACAACAGATACTGTTCAGCTGAGGAGATTGCAAGCTACAGTTCTGTGACCTTAGCTCTGACCAAACTTGCATTCTGGTGGATTTATGTAGTGATGCTGTCAGTTTTAATTCAGTGAGTTGGATAAGGAAGGCCTGCTGTCACTTCCCAGAAAATCTCCTACTATCCAAATTCCTGTATGGAATATGCCTTAATGTGGCCTAAAATTAGGCAGTAAAATTCTGCTTTGGAAGGCTATCACTCTAAACCAATAGGCAATTTCTTTTTCTGGGCCTGAAAAATCAGTGGATGAATAATGAATGTGAGGTAAAACTGCTTAATCAAACGAAACATCACTAATAGGAATGGAAGATGTTGAAAGAAAGCAAATTTAGCTTTAATCAGCAGGTTTCTTTGTTGCAGAAAAAAAAATTAAAATTCAAGACACAAAAAACCATTTAAGTAGGTCATTGCTTTGAAAACCCTTTTAATGCGAGTTACAAAGTCTACAGACAGCAACAATGTTTTAGGATTATTTTTTGTGAGCATCTCTCACTAGATATGTGGTGGGACCTTTAGGATGAAAAGCAAAAATCAAAACTATTTAAGCTACTGCTTATCTAAGTTCAACACAAAACTTATTTTGTTGTAGTGTACCAGTTATAAGGAGTTATTTTCTTGAACTTTGATAAAAACACATATAACTGCTGCTGCCTAAAAGTTTACAAAACTGGTATTTCTGTCAGTATCTTAAAGAATTACATTTAAAACAGTGTGTTAGAAATTCCCCAGGTTGTTTTTCTTTTGGTGTTGTAGAACATGTAAATAATATATATGTTGTAAAAATGAAATATATTTACCCTTTAAGCATTAGGGTTTTATTGTGAGCCACTGTAAAGCCTGCATAACCAGTTAAGCAGCTCATAGGCAAATGCAGCTGTGTTAGTCTGAAAGCTCAGAGCTTGTTTTGACTTTGTGCTGTGTACCCAGTACCTAGAACAAAGGCAGCCTGCAGGAGACACTACCGGGACAGCTGCAGAGCAAAGGCTCAAACTGCAGCAGTCATATGTTAAGAAATAAACACAGCAAATCTCGTCTGGTACTAACACAGATAATATCAGGAACAATAGCAATTCCTGATCACAATAATTACCTGAACTTTTTCAGTCTTAATTTGACAGTAACTTTTTTTTGTTTTGCATTGAGTTTACAAGCTTTTAACTTTTTAAAACATGGTTTTGCTTTTCTGTTCACCTGGCTTTCACTCATTTTCTTGTTTACATTCAAAGTAATACTCATGCAACATTTTCCCCTCAAGATATCTAAAAGTTTCTTTGTTTTGCTATACTGCTAATCTCTTTTTACAGGTGTGAGAAGAAAGCAGCAATTTGTCTTTATATAGTGGACAGTTTCCCAGGCAGCTTAGAGGGGCTCTAAAATGTGGATAGCCCTTATTTACAGCAAGAATATAGTTTAAATGGGTAAAAAAACTTTCTGTTCTTCTCTCCCCACCTCCAAACTCTTCCAGTGTTGGTAACATTGGTACTTTGCCTGAAACATATACACCACTTACTCTTAAGAAATGAAATTTAATTGCCAATAAAATTGTTCTGTCTTTTGTGACTTGGAGAGCATAGTTTGAGAACTTTTTTCTCCTTCTAAGCGGTAAGAAAAAGGGTT